GTGTTGTTTTCTCCCCATTTTTCTGGGGGTTTTTGAGGCAAACTGAATGTCTCATGGTGAAATAAAGATGCTAATGTTTTGGAAAAATGTGAAAATATCTTCTTCAGTTTGGCTACAAATTTGCCTTGGCCATGTTTATGTTATCTGGATAACAGGATACCATCTCCGTGTTATTTTGTTTGAATTTGCCGCAGTCCTTCAATCTGTGTTGTATGGCCTTTTGTAGCTTTATTAGGCAATACCTTCCTAAACTGATTCTAAAGAATGGTTATACTTTCGACAGGACTTCTTTAAAGTAACTGCAGAACAGTGTTTTTGTTACTACTATTCCTTAATGGTGACATTTCTAGAAGAGATGATTTGTGCTGGAGCATTACTGTCTCTAGATTGAGGACTTTACCTTGTTTTCACTAGAATCGGTGGTACCAGTATTCCTGGAGTGTATGAACTGGGAACCTTTTGCTTGTCTTAATCTTTGTGTGGCTACTTGAACCTTTTGGTACAGAAAGTTGATTTTGTGATTTGGGGGATTGGCCTTTCACAGTGTTGTCTATTTTGTAGTATAAATGATTTTTAATGGAAAAACCACAGCTGACCTGATGGACCCAGAGTGCAAAACTTCTTGAGGGTGAATAGGCTTCAGGGGACATATTGCACTGTTTACTCAAGAACAGCCCTGCATTGCAGTTTTACTTGTAGATGGTGCCATTCTTGGTAATGCTTACATGTTACATGGTTAGGCAGAAATCAATGTTAATGTTTTAATGTTAAAGAAATGTAAATGTCTTAGATCCCAACTATTGTTCTGTGTGAACCAGTATGATGCTTAAGCTAAAAAAACCCCTAGGATCTGACAGTGTAGTCTTCTATTATATATGGAAATCTCCCCCACCCCCTTATCTGAATAAAATAAATAGCAAACCAGGCTGTTGCACTGTACAGATCTTTTCGTGCTACTGTTGAGTGCTCTAAAGTCAGTGTTTCTAAACATATGGCTTCACCTCTCAAGGGAAATGTGCAAGAAGAAAAGAAGAAAGTTGCAATGTAGTGCCAGTAATTTGGCTGCAGTTCATTTCTAGCAGTCAGAACAGTGAATTTAAGTACATACAGTCAGTAACTGTAGGGTGTTTTCTTCTTTTTTTTTCTTCTGGATGAACTATGCTCTTGCTTCTGTAACCAGCACTTTTCACGTAACCATGAACCAGAATTGTTTGCACTTATGAAAACTTTTGGGGTAGGAAGTGATTGTTGTTTTATAGAATCACAGAGCATGAACATAGCTATCTTCCTGAAGTCTTTTGTTGAGCTATTTCTGTAATTTTGGGGCTGGAACAGAAGAAAAAAGAAAGTAAACATTTAATCTTTCTTTTAACGTAAGCATTGTTATAAGCAGAATTGTAGTTTGGGGTTTGTCTGTAGCAGTTTTCTTTGAACAGTTATTTTAATGCCTCAAATTAATATTTTAAAGTTTAAAAAACCCTTTAAAAAAGTGTTAAATTTTGAATGCCTTTTAATGCTGTAAGTATGCATTTGATTAATTGATGAATGTCTTACGGTCAGTGAACCTTTCTTATGCTTTCGAATAGATATCTAGGGTGATTAAACATTAGCAATAATATATTACTTTGTCACAGCCCAGTTACGTCTAAAATATATCTTTTTATGTTTAATGCGTTTGTTAAGCAGTATTTTTTCAAGAGAGAAACAACTTTTGCAGTCAAAACAAAGACTTTATCGAATTATTTTGACTAGCTGAGCCTTTATGCCCCTAGATCTTCAATTTAAAAATGGATAATTTTAAATCCATTTGACAGACTAAATACTTTGAAAATATTATATCTGAGTTGCCCTGAAGTTGAGTGGTGATAGTTTTTTGAAGCCAAAACATAGCAGTGACAGGAAAAATGTTCTCACGAAAAGTGGTGTTGAGTTTTAAATCTTAAAAGTGCCTCAAAAAAGTAGTCCATAAACATATTTGTTTATTTGAAAATTTAACTGACCTCCTAGTGAAAAAGGAAAAGTGATAATGAATAAAAGCACTTAGACCTGATTATTTAAATAATAATTTTGCTATATTTCCCAGTGATGTACTTAATATTTAGAGTGTGTCTTCCCTCAAAATAAACAGTAGAAGTACCTTAGGAGTAAAAATGTTGTCTAAATTTTGACTACTTATGCTGGATTGCAATCTTTCTTTAACACTGGTATGAATAAACGTATATAATATCAAAGGATGTCACTGTAGTCAAGTTTTTGACAAAAAAAATTTGGGATCTCTGTGGAGATAAACTGCTCTGAAGATATTGGAAAGAGCCATTTATAAAAGCTACCATATTATTCAGAGTAATAACAATTGACCAGAACAAGAAGAGGCCCTCAATTATTTCCAAAGTTGTCCATTTAAACTGAAGAATGAAGTGACACTTTTCTCATCTTGTCACTTATAATACAAACCTGTATCTAATTTATACGAAACAGAGAAATATTTTAGATATTTGTGCAGTCGAAGAACTGTAATTTAGGAGACTGTATAGAGGAGCGAGGGTTTGTATAATGTAGAAAAATGAAAGAAAATAGAAAACAGTATTGTGTTTCGGTCTCTTAAAACTACAGCACATTTTATTTCTAATCGCTGTTTGAGTCCAGAGCTTCACAGCTGAAGAAAAGAATTAATTAGGCTGTATTTCCCAGTAAGTCACGAGAGAGTGTTGAAAAAGCACTAGAATCGGCAAATCTGCCATTGTCTTAGAAGACTTGTACTGGGACAGTTTGAATTTTAAATGAGTCTGTTATACAAGAAGGAGAATCCAGGTCAGTCCTTATGTATAATAGATTTACCACACCAGCAGAAATAAAGGTATTTAAAGCTTACTTTTCATAGTTAAATGGATAATTAAAATACTACTGCTGTGATGAATGTTAACAAGTACACCAGTCACTTGTCCTGCTCCTCCACTTTGATGAACACCTGCACCAACACAAAACGTAAGGAGAGGATAAATAAGAAGATGCCATTTTGTTGTTACTTCTTAAGCTATACTGTAGTTTCACCCAACTTGCAGTTACATAAATGATGGTGTTTGAACACTGCAGTTAAGCTTTTAACAATTAGCCGTGTACATAAAAGATGAGTATGATCTGCATATCGTATCATTTTGGTTGAACGTCAGTCCAGTTTTTATGCTGATACATTAAATCATTATCCTTAAATATTTCCATGTTTGTCTGTGTTTAAATGGAATCCCCAGCAAAGATGATAACAACTTTGTATATATACCTACTTACTCATCTGACTTCCTAGTATCTTCAGCTATTTTCTGGACATGCTGCAAGGGCCTTGGTATATAGCTCCTGGTAGGCCAGGATGCTAGCAAGGTACACATTCTGAAATGCAGCATCTCTTTGTAGAGAACAGCTGGAATTCTGTTTCTATAGAAATGAGCTTTGCTAGCATTTGTGAGAAACACTTTCATAAATAGCTGTTCTGAGCAACGATGGGTGAGCTTTCCAGGTTAAAACTAGCCCTTTCAGCGTTGTGGTTCCCAAGAAAATAGCATGATTTACTCCTGGCATTGAGTAGGAAACAGAGCATTCGGTTTTGTGGTAGAATTGGGCACTGTTTAAGTTTTCATATGGACTCTGCATATGACCTGTTTTGAAGAACACTGCAGGTATCCTAATTACAAGATCACATAATTTGTAGCTCATAATGTTCATCTGAGAGATAGTGACTTTCACTTTTGATGAAAACTGTAGGCAGAAAAGAAGCAGTTCTTAAAAATTTGTTGCATATGTGTCCTGGAGAGTTGAACAGACTGAACTGTGAAGATTGAAAATGTAGATCAGTTTATCAAGGACTGATACAGTCCAGTGCCTCTTTGTTGTTCTAAAATTGTTACTATTTGCATGTGATTGGAATGAGAGTCAGCATTTTATACCGAACTAGCTCAACATGTCATAGAGGAAATAAGCTGTTTTTCATGGGAAGTGTAAATCGGTCATTGTGTATTTTGTCCTTTTGGCTTCTACTCCTCATTCAAGTAAAAACTTCTGTTGGGTATTTTCATGTATTACATAAATTACCTATCTAGAGGGAATTCTGTCTCAAAAGTATGCATCTCTCTCTTTCACTGTTTTATCACAGTACTCTTAACCTGCTCTGGAACAGCTGATTGTATACGATTAGAATGAAGGCTTTTGAGAAGTTGTCTTTTGTTGTCGTTTTGCAGGGGGTGTTTCTGGTGTCTTGGATAGTGACCAGTTAGCTGCTTCTTGCATTCGTTTTAGTGATGTGTAGATGAATGGAAACCATTAGCTCATTTCAGATACAAATTTTCAGTTACTGCAGACCTAGATTTGAATCAAAGCACATCAAGATGAAAGGCTCTATAACCCAGTACTAGTCCCTTGAGCCTTCCAGGCTGTTCTTGTCCTTTTTAAGTTAGTGCATGTCCTGTAATGGGAAAAAGAATTACTTACAGTTCAGTTTCTCCCCAGCATAATCAGTTATCTTTGGATTGGTTTTCAGTCTTTTCTGTAAATTTATTCTTTAGCAGTGCAGGAAGAATTTAATTTGCTTTTTGTGGGTTTTTTTTTTCTGCTCTGTAGCAGCAAGAGTTAACAGAAGAAGAAGCAGAGATTCTAAGATGCAGTACAGGAATTACGTTCTCTGTCATTTGTGGTTTAAGAAAAGGGGGTGGTATTCAGCTCTTGAAAGGGCTTTAATGAATACTGTTTGGTGTTTTTGAAAGCTAATGGTCAGAGGAGAGCAACAGAAACAGCCTTGGAGCTTTTAGGGTAAACTGATTAGCATTTTTCCTGATTGAGGTGATTGTTTCACCTCCTCTTTTTACCACAGGATTTTTCACTGTCTATTGCCTTTTGTTTATATTCAAATGGCATGCCGTTAAAGAAGCCTTTTTTATGTGAATGCAGTGCTTTCTCCCCTCCTTCTGTAGAAAATCTTCTTGCCACAGACAGGCAGAGCATGTGTTTCTCTTGTCTTGGTTGGGTGCACAAATCTTCTTTTATGTGTGCTGCTTCTTACCCTGTTGCCTAGACGATCACCGGCTTTCACTAAGGATGTCTGGTTCTCGTAAAGACTTTGACGTGAAGCAGATTTTAAAAATCAGATGGAGGTGGTTTGGTCATCAGGTATCAGCCCCTAACTCTGCAATTGAAAGCCACCAGGGAGACTTCTGGAATAGAGGACAAAATGTAACAACTGGTGGCACAAAGTTTTTAGATTCAGGTAACCTACCTTTAACATCAGTTGGTTACCGAAGGTCCAGCCAACAGGATTTCCAGAATTCACCTCCTTGGCCAATGGCATCCACCTCAGAAATCCCTACATTTGAATTCTCAGCAGAAGACTGTGGAGGTGCACGTTGGCTTGACAGACAAGAAACGGATGATAGAGCAAGTGAAGAAGAAAATGAATCGGACAGCAGTTCGTGCAGGTTAATTATTACTTTCCTATCGTGAAAATGTGTTTTCATTTCATGTTTACAGATAGCATGCATATATAGGCTAGCATTTATTCTAGATTAAAATGCTTCAGAAACCTAGCAGCTGCTGTGTGTCAGAAACAGAAAATGATTTATAATCAGAGTTCTGTGTGTTTACTAGGACCTGTTTAAAAGGCAACTTTATTCAAGGTGGATAAATACTACAGAGACGTGGATGCACTCATTTGTGTTTCAAATGGTATACCAAGTCCGTGCTGCTGTGAACAGGGTACTGTCCATTACATGGTAATGTTAGTGGATGCTTTCTAAATTATTTTGAAGTGACATTGATTGTTTAGTTCTGCTGAGAGTTAGTCCAATGCTCGTTAGGAGAAAACTGTGAAAATGTAAGCTGCTTGTGATGCTTATCTGATGGTGCCACGTGTTTCTATAGATGAGGGAGACGAAACTGTAAAAAATACTTAGACTATAAAGCAAAGATTTTTTTTCTTTTCTTGTGTATGTGGAACTTGAAAGAAAAAACCCACTTCATCTATTGAAAGCCAGCCACTTTGTGCTTTAAAGTGATTGCAGTTATCCATCCAGGTGTCTTAAACTATTTATCTAGCTTAAAAAGAAAAAATGTTTTATTGTGTCTGTAAAGATATTTTGGTTTTCTTCTCTTGCATATTGTTACTAAAGATGAAACTGATAAATTTGTTCTTAAAGGAAAGGTGTTTACCCATTGTAAATTAGGCAGTTAATCTTTCTTGTTAAGTGTCAGTTTAGTTCTTTTATTTCCTTTTACTGTGTAAGTCAGCCATTCTTCATGAAAAGTATTTTTCCTGTTTTATAGTACACATAGTGCATAATAGTTAGCTTACCATTTCAAGTAAATTTTATGATGTTTGCTTTCACGCTTTTAAGATAACTTTGTGATGATATGGCATTTCAGAAAGTATGGCTATTTAAAAGGGTGCACTGTTTAATGAAGCCTGTAAAGGACAGATCAATCTAGTTGTAGCAGTTTTAGTGTTTTGCATGCCCTAGAAGAAGAATTCATTTAGTGCAAGGGCAAAATAGTCCACAATATAAGCACTAACTGTTTATGGTTTATATAACCTTTATAGATTCAAGGAAAGGAGGGAAGGTAAAAATGCTTAGGAGTCAACACAGTGTGTTTGCTTTTATCGCTGAATGGCAAAAGTACTAGAATGACAGGGAAAGGAAATCCTGCATTCTGATGCTTCATAATAGCAGTCTTACCATGCTGCAACAACTATATAGCTATAAATAATATATCTCTGAAGAGGTCCTATTTTAAGTGACATTCAGGTATGAATTTCTAAACAGCTGTGTCACTGGGTAATGTATGTGATATAGCATTTCATTATTTGCTTTCATTTCAGCAACATCTACTTGTGATGTGAAATTTTTACGTACAGCATTACCCCAAATAGCAAGGCAACCGGTATAGAGAAAGCATGTACTTTTAAGAGAAAAATGTGTAGACTGAAATTACTACAAATTTGTTCTTAATTGTAGGAGAAGAATTTATGTATGACAAAACGAATTTGTTACTTTGTAGAATTGGAGAACTGCAGATACTTATTTAGAGGGTGTGAGAAGTTAGCATTGGGGATGTTTTGTTTTGTTTTCAGGCAATGTTGTATACTACAGGAAATGCACATAGGATTTGATCTTAGTAAATTTGAAGTATCTTTTTAATGATATGCTTAATCTTCTATAGCATCTAGAGTTATTTGTAATTCCTTTATTGTCTTGTAATTCTTGCTACTGTTTTACTTTCATGCTTTAAAATAAATATTTTAGATACATTTTCAGTTCAGTGTTGGTACAATTTAATATGTAACCAATGGTAATGTAAGAACTTGCTTTGTATTGTTACCTCTATCTCTAGTCTCATGCGGAGACCATATTTAAACCACGTTTCGTTCACTCCCTTTGTCGACAATGTATAAGCTGTTGGGTAGCCTCCGTAAGTCTGCCTAACATCAAAAAAATTCCAGCTGTTAAGAACTTAATTAAATGGTCTTTTCTATCAGTCTAAAATATAGCTTCTTATCTATTAATTTGAGAAAAAAACACGAACAACAACTTTCATCTATGTAGTTGTCAAAGGGCTCTTTTTTTCACCCACATGAAAACCCTGTTACCGCCATTAGAAACCAATTGTATGTATGAAAAAAATAGGGTTTTTAAATGTTGTGTAGAAGCTACAGAGTTGCCTTACTTCTTTGCTTCTATGTAACGTACTGCCCAGTTACAAGCACTAAAAACATGAAGTGACAGAAGCAGCTCTACTGCTTAGTGTATGTCAATCATGTCATGTAGCACAGGGAGAAGAGCATTTAGATCACGTCGTTGTCGTTGTGAAAGCTTTAGATCATTATGTGATTCATTCAGAGGAGAGCCGCTGGAGAATTCATTTGTTATTAGTATGGAGCTTGGTGGCATAAGGGATAAGCAAATTCCAAGTTTGGTACCAGATCTTTGATGAAGGTTGTGTCTGAGATGCAAACATCACCCAGATTCAAGGATCAGAGCTAGCTGGCTATGATGCTGATCACATCATACTCCTACGTGTGGTTTGTAACCAGCATGAGCTTGAATGATTGTTTACTGGGCCAGTGAGGTTTGAATTCTTTTGCTGGTTTTAGTCTCCTAGATTTCCTCTGTTGCTGCTGTTTAACTCTCCTACATTCCTCAGGCAATGGTCATCACATTGGATTTGTACACTTTTTAAAGTTTTCCAACAGCTGTGCAGACTCTTGTATAGTGAATTTAAGCCTATTAGCAATAGATTTGTTTTTCTTAACTTTTTGTGGATGCTTTAGCAGCAGTCCAGAGACCTTGAAGGCACAGTGGATGTCAAGTCAAAAATACCTAAAGCATAACTAGTACACAGTGTGTGGTGTCTGGTTCATTTCACCCAGGCATGCATTAAAATATTGGAATTGCTTTACTGTAGATTTAAGTATGGAAATGTATTCAAATGTAATATAAAATGTGTATTTATATTTGGACATTAAATACAAGCAGTATTTCAGAATTCATCAGTTGTGTCCTAACCTTGAACAGTTTAGTAAGATGTCTGTAACGGCTTTTAAAACACGGTGGTAGCTACTTTGCAGTACTGCTCTGCATGAACAGTCTTGGCAGTTAGGACATTGTAACTTCCA